AGGACACAAGGGGAGGAGGAGTGGCAGGAAAGTTTTAGTTGATTAAGAAAAGTGCCCATAGAACAGCTCAAAGGGGCTAAGGCCTGAGGGGGCTCAAGAGGTTGCCCGAATTTGGGTGAGGGCCAATGGCAAAAGATTGGGCCAGGACAGTCTGAGTTCAATAGCAAGTTTAGTGAGATGATCCCGGAGAATGCTGTTAGGCCTCGAAACCTTACTCGAGGATTGGAGTCAGTGGGGGATGTGGAGCCTCCAAGTGCTGTTAAGGCCTTTGGAAACTAGTTGAACGACCTGAGAAGTGAAGGCTGCACCATTGTCTGACTGGATGGAGGCAGGAAGTTCGAACCCAGGAATGATCTGCTCAATGAGGATGGAGGTGACAGTGTCAGCAGTTTCTGATGGTGTCAGCAGTTTTCCTGGAGGTAGGGAAGGCTTCTATCCAACTGTAAGAGAGTGCTATCCCCAAATTACAAACAGTTAAATCCTGTGTCAAGGCCTGACTGAAGAGGTAGGGACTGTCCCTGAAGCCTTGGGGTAGGCCTGTCCATGTCAGCTGTTGAAACCTACAGAATGTAAGATCTTCCCATGTGAAGGCAAAGAGGTAATAAGAGTCAGGATGCAGAGGCACTGTAAGGAAGCCAGCTTTAAGATCCAAGACAGTAAAGTTAGTGGTCAAAAAGTGGGGGAGGGTATGAGTAAGAAAAGTGTGAGGGTTGGAAACCACTGAGTGGATGGGAATAACTGCCTCGTTAATTAGGCGGAGGTCCTGGACGAAGTGATAGGCACCGGAGGGTTTGCGCACCGGCAATATAGGAGTATTACAGGGGGAGTCCGTAAGGATTGGGAGTCCCTGGGCCAGCAACCAGTCTATAATTGGTTTAAATCCCTCCCTATGGGTTTTGGAGATAGGAAATTGGGAACACAAGGAAGTTTAGTTTGGTGTTTCAGCTGGGTATGGACTGGCTTGTGGTGGGAGGCTATAACCAGCATGGAGATGTCAGAGAGGGTAAGAATTAGAGGCAGAAGGAGATGGGTGGTAGTATTCTTGGGGTGTAATTGGAGGGTGGCTCCTAATAATTGGAGAACATCTCTGCCTAGGAGAGGAACTGACAGGATGGAATGACCAGAAGAGTGAGTGAATGGGTGTCCCTCCAGGGCACAGGCCAGCTTTACAGTTCTGTTTGGGGAGAAGGATTTGTCATCAATCCCCAAAACTGAGACCTGGGAAGGAAACAGAGGCCTAGAATGGGCAGGCAAGACAGAATAGGTAGTCCCCGTGTCCACAAAGAAGCTTATGGACTTACCTACTGCCTGGAGCACTACCCTGGGCTCAGAGAGGGCAATGGAGGGTCTTTGAATCTGGGCTTCTTCAGTCTTCTGCGAACCCCAAAAGTTCAGGAGAAGGGACTGCCTGACTGGTCATACCCCTGCATAGAGGTGCCAAGGAAGGGCCAGCCATGGGGCAGTCACTCTTCCAATGTCCTGTCTGGTTAGAGGTGGGGCATGTCCTCGAAGGAGGCCATGGGTTTGGGCATTGGCAAGCCCAGTGCCTTTCACATCCACATTTGAGGCAAGCCTCTGTTGGAGAGGAATGCTGGTTCCTCCAAAAAGCCCTCATTTGAGCTATAAGCCTCAGGGCTGCTGCCAAGGCCTGGGTTTGGGGCATTACCTTTTTCTGCAATGAGCCTGCTTTAAAGGCCATTTTCACCAGAGCTCAGATAGGGGTTTGAGGGCCCTCCTTAGCTCATTTGAGTTTTTCCTAATATGAAAGGTCAATTGAGTAATGAAATGGGTTCCTAACACTGTAGGCCTGGTGGGAGACTCACGATCCAGCTTAGTGTATTTGGTTAGGGTATCTGCAAGTTGGTTGAGAAATAAGGCTGGATTTTCATCAGGATTCTGGGAAAGATCTTGAAATGAGAATGGGATGTGTATTCGAATGATCCCTTCAGCACCAGCTACTTCCCTGAGAGGACAAAGGTACTATGGGTTATCTGATAAGAGGGATCAGTGGGACTGGGTGTGGGCACAGATGGAGAAAAGAGGAATGAGTAGGGAGAGGGGAAAGGACTTATCAGTAGAAGAGGTGAGCAGAGTGGGCGAGGAGGCTCGGAGGGATCTGGAGATTCCCCCCATTGCAGCCAGGTGGGAGCCATCCTGCCTGCCCGTTGGAACCGGGGAGGCAAGAGGAAGGCACAAGGGAGTCGAGGGCTAACGCAAAAGCTGCTGTGCACAAAAGCTGCCATGGTGCAATGAAGGTGAAGGACGGCAGCTCGCCCGCCAGCTGAGGTGGGATCCCGAGGCGTCTCCACGCCACCGAGGGCGCACTACCCACGCATTTTGCCCACCGCACCAGGAAGGTGGAGCACCAGTGCACATGTCTGGTGGCCAGGCAGAGTGGAAGTGTGCAGACAGGGACACGGGCGGTGGGCAGTGGAGGACAGGAAGAAGAAGGAGGGGAGGGGGATATCTCCGGGAGGAAGAGGAGGGGAAGTGTGCAGGCAGGGCCAATGGAGTGGGGAGGGGGAGGGGACGCGGACATGGTACCACTGGGAGGGAGAGCAGACATGAAGAGCGGAGGGAAGGGTGCAGAGGGAAGGTTGGGAACAGAGAGTGGAGGGCAGGACAGGAAGACCTGGGAATCCCCTTCCATGCTTTCAGACACCAGCAATAGTTAAAAAGGTCCTGGTGGAGATTTGGATCTAATGAGCCTTCTGGAGGCCAATGATTGCCATTATCCAGTGGATATGTAGGCCAATCTTGGGTACAGAATTTGATCAGGAGTTTGGGCTTGATGTCTGGTGTGAGGGAGAGTGTGGCCAGATTTTTTCATTAGACATTTGAGGGGTGAGGCTTCAGGTAGAGACAAAGAGGTATCCATAGTCAAAGGGGAGATAGAAGAGAGGGGGAGAGAGAGAGAGAGAGAGAGAGAGAGAGAGAGAGAGAGAGAGAGAGAGAGAGAGAGAGGAGAGAGAGAGAGAGAGAGAGAGAGAGAGAGAGAGAGAGAGAGAATGAATAAGAGTAAGAGTGAGAGACAAAGGAAAAACCCGGGCCGGAATAGCTTCCTGGAAGCTCAGGGTGAACGGGGGGTCTAGTAGGTGTCCCCAAAATGACCGACCGTTGCGAGGAAATACAGAGGGCACTACCGGGTCGTCACCAGGGAAGTGCGATCTGTGAGACCCAATAGGGTTGGAGCCATGGACAACCGGATGTCAGGAAAGTTTTTCGACTGGAATGAGAGAGTCAGGAAAGAAAGGAACGGAGCTCCAGGAGAAAGAAGCTCTGGGCCACAAGTTCAGCTCTGAGCAGAATGCAGCTCCAGCAGGACGCAGCTTCAGCGGGACGCAGCTCCCATGGATGAGGAAGAAACCAGGGAGCCTCTCGTGTAAACCCAGAAGCCTCACACCCCAAAGGGAAGCGGATCGCCAGAGGGTCCACTGTAGCCAGTGAAGGTCTTAGTGGGGTGGGTTCCCTCCTCCCTACTGGGCGTCAGGAGTGTGCCAGAAGGTCATGGTCACAGATCCTACTGTCAGCCCGAAGGGAGTTGGCGAGCCAGGGAGGGAGAACTTACCTAAACCAGATCAGTGGTGAGTGCAGGGAGCCAGTGTCTGAAAGAGTGGACTAGGGTGGAGTGTCTCTGCAGAGCCTGGACAGGGCTCTTGTTAGAATGAGCTCACCTAAATCCTGGGTTTCGGCACCAGAATGAAAGAATCCTCCACGCAAGACACTTCCCTGGGGAGAATTCCAATTTTATTGCAAAAGGCTGTGGGCTTATATAGATCTAAGGAGAGATGGCAGGGCTTAGATAAATGGCAGGCCACCCATTTATTGTCAAGTTCTTCCAGATATCAGTTCTGGAGCCCAGGAATTATTTCTTATTGGGGCTAAGGTTCCTGCCAGCGAGATTTGAAATTGGCGCTGGCGGGCAAGTTCAATCCATGGGAACTTTTCTCGCTAGTGAAAATAAAGGGGAAAGTAGGAAGAGAAGGTCATTAGGCTCCATGTTGGGGTTTTTCTCTGGGGTGTGGCTGCCTTTATACTTTTCCCAACAACCATTACAATATAATACATTTCATGAATGAACATTTATATTTTATATCATAATATAATACATATTATATTACATTATAAGTATAAATACCATATAGCATATAAATATATAATATGTACTTATATATTTAATAAAATATATTTAATAATTATATTTATTAATATATATTTATAATATATAATAGTATAGTTTATATTCTTATTCTCTGTATATGCACATATATAAATATACATAATATGAAACAAAAATACATTAAGGGCAACAGTGGGCCAATCACTGAGGTGTGTACCTGCACTCACAGAGATGAGAAGTGGACTCAGAATGACCACATGTTCTTGGTCAGCCTGGCTAATTGGGCAAGACTCTGTCAAAATAACAACAAAAACAAGTGTTGAGATGCAGTGTTGTGGTGTGAACTGATCAACACAATAAGTTACTAATACTGGTTGTGTAAAGCAATTGCTGTGGTTAAACTACCTGATCACTTGTAACAGTCCCCTCCTTGCTGGAGCGACAAGCACGGAGTCACTATGGCTCTATGAGCAAACAGATGTGGCTGAAGTTACTCCATCTCAGCTGTTCCAGACTCCACCTTAGTTTTTCTGTTATTGCCCCCATGAAGAGACAGCTGCAGGACCCACTTCTGAGAAAACAAAATGAGAGCTGTTTTCTGCTAAACACAAAAAGAAAATTATTGTCTTCTGTACTCTGTATCCCACAAAATGTACTTGAACCAAGACGTACAAACCACAAGTGTGCCTGAACCCAGGATGTGGTTGTCTGATGGCTCTGCTAACTGCTTTTTTCAGCCTTTGTACCCTTCTTGCTTGCAATTCACAGATTCCATAGGATGTGGCTTTCTTCCTTAAATATTGGAACCACAGACAGCCTGGTGCACTTCTGTCAGAAGGACGTTGGGGCATGGCAGAAGCATCCCTGGCCAGGAAATAAACCTCTCTAATTTGTTGCAAATTAGGTCTTTCAGTATTTTCTAAACAGTCTCCCTATAACAGTAGTTCAGTGATAAAGTGCCCCACATTCTATCCCCAGGGCAGCATTTTGGTACCTAGCTCCTTTGGCCAGAAGATGAAAGAGCTGGCCCTGCTGGAGTCTCCAAGGTGCCTCCCAATGGCTCCCAGGAGATTTTTGAAACAAGCATCTTTCAGTTCCAGGTGCCCCCACACCCCTCTCCAGGGGCCCTAGGACACAGCTTCAGCCCATGTGAGAAATAGAAAGTCTGGTGGTCCATTTTCAAAATACAGTATCAGTCTTAAGTGGGTTCAGTTGTAGCCATCTTAATTATGCTCTTTCCCTTTTGCCCCCCCCCATTTTAATATTAGCCAATCCCTTGGGTTGTACCATTTAGTCTTCCAATCAGGGTGAAGGTCTGCAGGCCATAGGGTATATGAGCCGGCCTACTGCCCGTCTGTTGTGCCTCCTAGCCAGATTTGGTGGCATTCCCTTTTGTCAGACGTGAATGCCTAGGCCACCCACTTTCCAGCATAGTTTGATTCCTTATTGCCAATGTCTTGGCTGGGCACAGAATCAGGAGGCACTCACAGCTTTGTAGATTCAAACAGCAATTCTTTATTCCCAAACTCACACCGGCCCTGTACAAACACGTTCTGGGGAAATCTCAGTTCTGCCACCGCCCAATTCACCTACTCCATGAGGCCTTTTTTCAAACACTTTTTGAATCTCATGAGAACTCAATGGGAACTCAAGCAGCAGGAACACCCTATTCCCAGCAGCAATAATCTTCAACCTCCAACTTCCCTAAAACCCATATTGTCTTAAACCAGGAATGCCTTAAACTTGTCTTAAACCGGGAATGCCCTAAACCCAAGGACGGGATACTCCCTAAAACTTGATCAGCTCTAAACCCGGATCTGCCCTGGTCCTTGAGCAAGGTCACCTTACTAAAGCATACATGCAATGTCCCAGCGAATGTCCTCTAAGAAACATGGGGTACGCTGGCAAGGAAATTTTGATGCGTCAATCCTTCTTGGCAATGGCCCTCAGCACCTTATGGCACGTCCGTCTTTATTTCTAACACCCCTGGCACACAAAGTCCCTATGGGTCTCTGGGAGGCGAAGCAAAGCCGGGCTGTGTCTTAGGCATCTATCTTCTAAACTACCTGAATCCTGGGCATAGGGTCTGCAATTACGTGGGGTTCACTGTCAACTCCCCAGTGGCAAGAAAGGGGTGGGGGATCCAGTAGACCAAAGGGAGAAGGCCGTGGGAGGACGGTGAGGGTCTTCCTCCAGACAGGCAGGCTTTGGGAGGCCTCAGGCTCTTTTGGGGCAAAGGGCAGATTATATTGGGAGGGGGGCTGTAATAGATATATGGGAGGGTCTATCCTAAAGGGCTGGGTAGGGAGGTCGACCCTGTGCAACTCTAAGCAGGTAGGGAAGGGTCCCACCACTGGGAAATTGATGAGCAATTCCTAGAATAAAGGAGAGCGTTCTGGAGGAGGAACAGGGGACAGTTAAATACCTCCAACTGCACTCAGGGCCTAAGGATGGCAAGTGTGATAAGACAAGCCTACAAAGTGGTGAAGCCTGGAGGCTGGGCTTGAAGGCCTTGTGAGGAGGCTCTAGATGGGCCTGGAGGCCAGTGATGGTTAGGGATTCTCTCCTAGTTGGGCGCTGGTGGGGAGGAGACTCCCATGTTTCTACCTGTTCTCCTCCCAGGGATATGGTCTTCCTCATGCAAGCCGTAGGGTCTGCAGTGGCTGCCCTTAGGATCAACTGCCCAACTGGGGGGCCCAGGGATTATTCCCTGCTTCAGCCGTCCCAATGCTGTTCTTCCTCGTCACAGTTTGCGAGGGCTTGACTGTACCCCCACACCCCTCAAACCTCCTGTGCCTCTTGGAGTCATGCATGGGCATGGAACTATGGCTGGGAAGTGGGTCTCTGCACCAACCAATAGGCGCGTGCATGGGCAGGGTTCCTTGTCACACAGACTCTGATTGGCTAATGCATGGTAAATGCGTAACCCTTGACTGTTGGAACCGCCCCCTACCCCCTCCATCCACCACCAACTGAAGACTTGAACTGCAAAGAGGCTGATGCCTTGCTGCGGGTGTAAGTACATGTTCCAGGGGAAGTGACTCCAGGAAGGATTGAATGTGGGCCATCCCGGATTCCAGACTCTTCTTTTTAAGGTAACTTGGTGAGAAGTGGTTATGGGGAGGTATGTCATGTAGGAATGACGCCAGTTCAGTAATCTCTCGACAGTTTCTGGAGGACTGGTTAATCCCGGGATCCTCAGGCAGACTTGGTCTTCATCATCTGATCAAGAGATAGTGATAAGAAGTCCCTTAAATTATAGGTTTCTCAAAATATGATGTCTCCCTTCATCAGTGTATTGAGTATCTAATTAACAGTGCACAGGTAGATTCACAGGTTTCCCAGGAACTGGGGAGTAACAGGCCTGGAAGAAAGACAGTCATAGAGAGTCACAGGCCTGGAAAAGTATGCAGGATTTCTGAATTAAAATCCTATTTTTTGGTCCTTTATTTATATCTGCATTCTCTTTTTATTATTTCTCCTATAGTACCTCTTCTCACCCACATGCAGACATTTATCCCTTTATCTTAAAAGGCAACTAGGAACAAGGTCTGTCTTCTCTGACTGCCTCTAGGTGACAAGGAACCATGAGCCTGCTCAGCCAGGGATGGAAACTCCTGTCCTGAATGATCTTAAAGTGAAATAGAAAGGACAGAATGTGTTGGTTGTGGAATCATCATTCTTTGATAACCTGGGCATGTGAGATACTAGCCCACCACAGCAACAGATCAAATTACAAAGAAGTATTGCTAAGTAGAGTATAAAGGCTAATAAAAAGAAAAAGGTGTTCTGGAACAAGATGTTCCAGAAAACCTGGAGGTTAGGAAGTCATTGAAACTTTGGGCAGAATCAGACAACCTATTATTTTGAGAGTCAAGTTCTTGTAGCAGACACAGTTCCAGAGTTATCAGGGTTAACACAACATTCCACTGTAATGATGGCACCTGTTCCTTCTGGTGCTGCAGGTGATACATCCAGGGCCATTTGATCTGTTAAGATGAGCTTTCTCATCACTTTCATCTCATTGCTCAATAGTGAAATGTTCTGAGAGGGGTTTTTTGCGTATATTGGCTAGAGAGCTTGATATGCCATGTTACATCTGCAAGCCCAGTTTCGGGACTGAGATAAGCCAGATGATCACTCCAGTGAAAGACTGCTAATTCTCACCAATGCTGTAGGTTTGGGGAGTTGGCTGGAGAATCTATAGTGTTAATTCACATGCCTGTACCCAAGGATAGCCTCATGCTTATCATCCAGCCTGGAGAAAACCATGGCCAAAGATGGGTATCATGTAGTCATTAGGTGCCATTTGTCACTGTGTTTTCAAGGCTGGTTTCTCAACACTTGAGTTCCTTCCACTCACCCCCTGCCCTTACTTCCTCCTGAGAAGGGATGTGCATGTGAAGCTGAGGGTCGAGGTGGTGACAGGTTAACCCTTCTGGTCCCAGCGGTCATTTCCTGAAGATTTCTAGTTCCCCTGAACCACGACTGGAAGAACCAGTGAGTATATCTCTTCAGGAGGCCCCCAGAAGGGCCCATTCTCCTCACAGTGCAGGAGAGATGCCAAGAGGGAGCATCAGTCCTTTAAGAGCCCAGCCTACAGCCTACACACCGACCACTGCATTCACCTCATGGTGAAGGATCCCTCCTATATTTTATAGAGGAGAAGTGACTTGTCTACAGTCACATGGCTTGCATAGAAAGTGAGACCAAGTAGGTAGACAGGGACATTTGTACACCTGCCCCCAGCATTACCTATCCAGTAGATAAGGAAGAAAGGGCAAGGAATGGGGTTTTTGGTTGTCCCTGCATGGTATGGCCCAAGCTGCATTGTGTCCCAGACACCCATCCCAAAGAGCTCTGTGTTGTGCCAGTTCAGGCGGTCACTCCTAAGTTGGACAGCAAAATCTGCTCCCAAGACCTGCTTGACATGGTTGGACAACCTCTGCCTGCCAGGTCCCCCAGTCACAGAGCCCAGGCCAGGTGCATGGGAAGGGCTCTAAGAGACAGGAGCACATGCAGGCTTAGCCCATGACTCAGGATCTGCCCTGGGGAAGCCGATCTTTGGTTTACTTGTGTGAAAATGAGGGTCAAGGTCTTGCTTTGATTCTACAGATTTTCCTAAAGGCAGTAGAATGAATGGGACATAGGTTTCCTATGTCCATATATCAACACAGGACCAGTGACCTGCCACATCATGACAACCACAAGATGGGATCCAAATTAGAATCAGTTATACTCCATGTGTGTGTAATATAGCCAAGCACTCTCTAATGACATGTATATTTAAAAACAAATAAAAAGAAGAAACAAAATTTACCTTAAATATGCCTCATTGTTATTTTTATACTTTGGTCCTGCAGTAGGAAACATGTATCACGTAGGCCTGTTGGTTCATGTCCCCTCATTTTATACCACTGGCCAAACAGTGGATGTGTTTACAATAACACCCCCACACATGTGTAGTGTGTTGCACATGGCTATGGTGTCACTGGGTGAGAGAAGGCTTCAAGCTCCTTCTTGTGCTTTCTGTGTGTCCGTCCTTGGGTGAACTGTCATTACACAGCACACGACTGTCCTCAGGATTTCCCTACTTCATCCCAAGACAGAGGTGATTCTGGCCACACCTCCTGGTTCTCTCTTCTTCTGTGACCCAAGGCCTGTGCCTCCCTCCTTCCTCCAACCGCCCACTCTGCTTCTTGCTGTGGGGGGAACCTGGGGGCTTAGCAGAGCCCCACCTTGTGTCCTGAAGCAAGGCCCACGTGTGGCTGCCACCCAGGTGCTGCCTTCCAGGCCCACAGACGTGTTGTCATGGTGGGCAGACCCCTCGGCCCTTGGTCTTGTCTCCTTGCCAGTTTGGTTCTGTTTGAAGTTGAGGGGTGCATGGAGCCATGCCTGAG